GCCACACCATGGCCCAGAATGCTTTACTGCCAGGCAGACAGAGAACCGCTACGGTGAGGTCTGGCTGGTGTTTCTGGCTAAGGCTGCCTGGGGTGGGGGGAACTGGGTCACAGAATGAAGCCTCACAACCTGGCCATCGTGGGGACGGCCTGCCCATCTCCCACCCAAGCTCCAGCACATCAGCCTGTTCTCAAGGTGAGATATGCAGGGAAAACACATTAGTCTTACAAGGAAAACCCGAGCCAGCTACCAAGCCGGGTCTGTCACTGGCAACTACAACCTGTTAACCAAGGATCCCCAGGTGAAAAGGAGAAGATGTTCAAAAGTGAAGCCCGTGGGAACCAGCAGTTAGCGTAATGGCTATGTCGCTGGATTCCCACATAGTCGACTGCGGTTCGTGTCCCGGACCCGGTGGCTTAAAACTCACGCCGGGCCCGTGTGCGTGCGTGCCCAAGATCCCGAGAGGAGAATGGAGGAGAAGGGATTGCGGCGTGACCATCCCCCCTGGGGGGTGATTTCTCGCTTTCTGTCTCTATGTCTCTCTCTCTGTCTGTCTGGCGAGCGCACACGCCCTGTAACAAAAACCCCTCCAAAAACAAAAAAAAAAAAAAAAAAAAGTCATGCTGGGCACATGTGTGTGCATGCCTAAAATCTCAAGAGAAGAACAGAGGAGAAAGAATTGCGGTGTGGCAATCCACCCTTGGGGGGTTGATTCACCTTCCCTCTCACTGTCTCTGTCTCTGACAAGCACACACCCTATGGCAAAAATCTTAAGGAAAAAAAAAAACAAGTTCTAGTTGGGTCAGCCCATAGTCTGGTGTTTAGGGCAGCTGGATCCCACGTGGCTGACATTGCAGACTGAGTCCTGGACCCAGCGGCTTGAGTAATGAGTACACGCCCTAAGTCCCGACAGGAGGGAGAAATGGGAGAACTGACTGCAGCGTAACCATTTCCCACGGGCAGGGGTGCTTCCCCCTCACCCCCATCACTTTCTCTCTGAACACACACACACACACACACACACACACACACTGTCAAAACTAAAAAAGAAAATGTCTGGTCAGTGTTACTAGTTGGTATCCGAGAAGGTATCACAAGTTTTTCCTTCCAGTCACGAGCCCGGCAATTCAGGACAACACTGCCCCCGAGAGCAGGGAGCTGGAAGGACAGAAGCAGACCCCGAGAGCTGCCGTGTCAGTGCTAAACACTGAGTCGTGGTGTGGGGAAGGCAGCCATCCAGACGGTGATGCTTCTGCTCTGATCTCAGAGGGGACTACAAAGAGCCTGAGGACGGGCTGGCAGGTGGTGTGGAGGCTAAGCTGGCTGAACCCCAACATGGCTGATCGTGGTTCAAGTCCTGGATCTGGCAGCTTGCTTTCTCATTTTCCCTTTCTCTCTGCCTCTCTCTGGTCATCTTCGAAAAAAGTAAAAATAAAATAATGACAATGAATAACATTAAATTAAATAATTCTTTAAAAAGATAAAAATAGTTTGTGGAAAAATGGAATTAAAGAACAAGTTTACTATGGCACAAAACAATTTTGAAATCTTTGCATAGCTTTTTCTTTTTTTCAGAATTATTTTACTTAACTTTGCTTATTATTATTTTTTTTTTAAAAAAATAATTTATCTATTATTATTTCACATGAGTTTGGTCAGAGAAAGACAGCGTGCGCGCGCGTGAGAGAGAGAGGAAGAGAGGGAGAGGGCAAGCTACCAGGTCTGGGACTCGAACCGTGGTCAGTCATGTGGGAATTCTGGCGCCTTCACCACACCACCTGCTGGCCCCGGAGAGGTTTTTTCTATAGGGCACATGTGCTTGCCAGAAAGACAGGGAGAGACAGAGAGACAGAAAGTGAGAAATCACCCCCAAGGGGGATGGCCACGCCACAATCACTTCTCCATTCTCCTCTCGGGATCTGGGGCACGCATACACATGCGTCTGTCATGAGTTTAATTCACCGGGTCTGGAACTTGAACCGTGGTCAACTACATGGGAGTCCAGCGATATAGCCATTATGCCAACTTCTGGTCCCTATTATCTTTTTAAAATTTTTATTTACTTTATTTACTTATTTATTTTAACTTGATGAGAGAGGGAGGGACAGAGAGAGAGAGAGAGAAAATGAGAAACAAGCCGCCAGGTCTGGGACTCAAACCAGGGTTGATCACGTGGGAATTCAGCGCCCTTTGCCACCATGCCACTTGCTGGCCCCAATTATTATTATTATAATCTTGACGAGAGATTGAGGGAGAGAGAGAGAGGAAATGAGAAAGCAAGTTGCCAGGTCCGGGACTTGAACCACAGTTGGCCATGTGAGAGTCCAGTGCCTTTAACCACCATACCACTTGCCGGCCTCAGTTCTTTGCATAATACGTATTTTCTATGAACTTTCTGAAGACTCCTCGTATTTATCAATGAGGAAGCTGGGCAGAATTTCTAACAGACTTGAAGGCCTAGGAGAATCAAAGCTGGGGCCCAAAGAGACTGTGTTAACCTTTCTCCTCTGTGCTGTATCTCAGGGCATACACTCTAGAATAAAAGCCAATGGAAATAAACCAGCCCTGGCCCCTGCAAGGGCTCAGCTTTGAGTCCCAGGTAGCCCAGGGCCCTGAGCTGGACTCAAGTAACTCTGTAGTCCTGGTGTCTCAAGCAGCTGTCAGTAACAAACAAAATGGTCTATGGAAGAAAGTAACACCACGTTAGGGCTCAAGCTATTTCTACAAATAATTTTTTTTTTTTTGAGAGGTTTTCGCTATAGGGCGTGTGCGCTCACCAGACAGACAGAGAGAGACATAGAGACAGAAAGCGAGAAATCACCCCCCAGAGGGGATGGTCACGCCGCAATCCCTTCTCCTCCATTCTCCTCTCGGGACCTTGGGCATGCACGCACATGCGCCTGGCGTGAGTTTTAAGCCACCGGGTCCGGGATGCGAACCACGGTCGACTATGTGGGAGTCCAGCGACATAGCCATTACGCTAACTGCTGGTTCCCTACAAATATATTTTTTTAAATTTTATTTAACTTATTATTTATTTATTTTAATTCGACCAGAGAGGGGCAGAGAGAGAGAGAGAGAGAAAGTGAGAAATCATCCCCCCAGGGGAGATGGGCATGCCACAATTCCTTCTTCTCCATTCTCCTCTTGGGATTTGGGCATGCACGCACACGCACATGAACCCGGTGTGAATGTTAAGCTGCCAGGTCTGGAACTCAAACCACGGTCAACTACGTGGGAGTCCAGTGATAGAAGGTTATTTGCTAGCCCAAATATACCAGATTTTTAAAAGAGAAGTCATTATATCTTAGATGATGGGGAAAATGGAAGAAAAGACAAACTCAAGAAAGAGAATCAAGGGGCCAGCAAAGTGTTTACATTGCTGGACTCCAATACTGTCGACCACAGTTCGAGTCCCAGACTTGGTGGCTTGGAACTCACACCAGGCGCGTGTGCGTGTGTGCGCTTAAGATCTAGGAGAAGGGACTGCAGCATGGCCATCCCCCTGGGGGTGTGATTTCTCATTTTTCCTTTCACTGTCTGTCTCTCTAGGAAGCGCACACTCCCTAAGGCAAAAAAAAAAAAAAAAAGAGAGAGAGAATTAAAAAAAATCTAAACTCACTGACTTCTAAGTCTGTTTTTATAGAATGAATGAAAACAGGGACTTAGATCATTGTGAGTCTTCAAAGCGTCCAGACAGGATCCCCAAAGTACTTCTAAAGCAGTAAAATATTTGTGCTAGACTCTTAGTGACAACACAGCATTAAATACCCACGGAATGATAGCTTCACAGGTCTAAGGGGAGTTGATTTTGAACCTAGGGTTCCATTACTCGACCAAATTAAGATATACCGCAACAACGTTCTAAAATGGAGTAAGAACTACGGCCACGGTATACCAAGGCCTTCGGAGCCTCGTGAGGGCTGACTCTGACTTTCCTACCCCGACTCCTTTATCCCTCGGTGCTGGCTCTTCCTCTGCCTGGATGTCCCTCCCTTCTGCTGGCCTCTGCTCAGTTCATCGGCGAGGCCTTTCCCGACTGCTCAGTGTGAGAGCCCCCTGCCAGCACGCACGTCCCCTGCCCTTCCCTCGCTCTCGTAGTCCCTTCTCCATGAGAATGCAGGCCTGTGAGGCAGGGCCTGCCTGGGCCCGGGGCAGGTGTCCGCGGGAAGCTGTGAGCGCGCTCTCGGCCGCGCTGGTCAGATGGCAGCCCCGACACCCGTCGTGGCCAGCCGCGACCCGGAGGTGACGCCTTCTGCGTCCAGCCGCTCACTCAGCCTCGATTCTCCCTCCACAGCACATCTCAGACCTCCGTTCCCGTTTTACTGCCACGTATCGCCCCAAGTCGCCTTCTCCCACTCCTGGGGCTGCCACGAAAGACACGGCCGGGCTGGTTTTCTACTTCCGGTCATGCCAACTCTCCCGGTCGCTCCCGCCGCGGTCAGGGAACTCCGGCTCCTCACGTCCCTCCTGCCCCATCTCACACGCCATCTCCTTTCGCCTCTACACGCCGACCGCGGCCTCCAAGGCGCCCAGGCCTGCAGGCACTATGGCCTCGACCAGGAGACGCTCTTTCTGGGTGTCTGCAGGGCTGCCTGCTTTCACTCTGGTGAGATGTCATCTTCCGAGGTCCTCCCTGGCCACTCCCCCCCAGGCGCAAACACTGCCCGCCCTGCTTTCTTCCTGCCTGGCGCAAACCCACACGACCCACGTGCCTCCCCGCTCCTGCGTGCCTCCTCCCGGACGACGGGCTGTGTGCAGCAGACAAGCCTTTCTTGGCTAGCAGACCCAGAGGGCGACAGGCAGCTGTCCCTAGCACAGGACACCTGGAGCACGTCCTGGGCTCTGACACCCAGGGGCCAGCTCCTGCCGACAGGACTCACGGCCAGGTGCTGGGAAACCTAACGGGGAAGGGTTGTGAAGCGCTCGGCTTATGTTTAAACCTCCAGCTTCAGGGTTCGAGAGAGAGGTCTGGCGGCAAGAGTGAAGGCAGCACCTACCACCACCGTCGACTCCCACTGGCTCCCAGTGGAGTAGTGGACCGGGCCCAGCAAGTCCTTGCATATTTCTCGGAGTCGGTATTCAAACCCTAATTACAGAAAAACAACACAAAACAAACAGAAATAGGAACACATTACAAAAAGAAATGGAAAAAATCAAGAATATACTAAGTTGTTGTGTATTTCCAAACAGAAGGAGTAAATGCTCATTTAATTGCCTACCATGGGCACAATGCGCCAGCGTCTGTCTGGAGCCCGGAGGCCCCTCATCACAGACCTCGCTCTCACCATCCACCCACTCTCCTGACACACGCAGTGCCCCTCTGTGTGCTGGGCCCAAGGGACGCATGGGCCATGGCCGGCTCTGTGACGGACTCCCCATGGATTTGGAAAGCGTGGGGACTGTGGCAAGACAGGAGTGGGCAGCTCAAGGGAGGAGCTCCGAAGGCCAGAAGGCCCCGCAGGTGTGAGAAGCGAGGGTGGGACCAAGGGTGGAGACCGAGTAGGGGAGGCCTGGCCTCATCGGCCCCAGGGGGTGGGCACCATGGGTGGAGCTTTAGGAAAGACTGGAGACAGAGTCTGCGGGGTCTGTCGGCACTTGGGGCAGCTGAAACCATGGGGAGTGGGTGAGGTCACCCAAAGACAAAGGTGGAGAGTGAGGGGGGGAAGCTGGAATCTGAGTAACTCTGGAAGTGAACGGTCCCCAATTAATACCTAACCCTCCACTTAGAGCTGAGGAGACAAGGGATGGAGAAACGGGGTGCCAGGGGTGTGGCGGCTGGACAGACGGGCGGGAGATGGAGGAAGAGAAGCGAGTGGTCGATGTGACCCCACAGACGGGAGGTGGGGCCGGAGGTGGCAGGGACTGTGTGCAGGGTGTCAGGTGAGTCCTGACCAATGCCAGGAGGAAGCGAGCCAGAGGAGTGTGTGTGTGCGCGCGTGTGTGTGTGTGCGTGCGGGGGTTTCCACAGGCTGCACTGCGAACCCAAGATGGGACAGGCCTTGGGAAGGACAGGAAAGCTGTCCCCGCCGAGAAGAGCGAGCACCGGCATCAGTGGAGTCGGTGGTGGGAGGCGGGGCAGTGAGGGCCGGCCATGCTGACCACCGTCACGTGTGTGTGCACCTGTCGCAGTATGCTCACACTCAGTGCACAGCCAGGGGCAGGCGTGCCAGGTCAGCTCTGGGGGTTACACTCGTAGGGCTCTGGCATCTTCCTGTCTTTTCTGTACTTCATTTTTCCCTCTGTATCATAACCAAAGCGGGAGGTGATGGTGAAGGCAGTGAAGGCAGAGAAAAAGGCCAGGGGAGGCCATGGAGGCAGCTGCTCCCGAACTGGCCTGGGCAATGGCCCGTCATGCTGTGAGAGCCAGTCCAGGGCCCAGCCCGAGGCAGGAAGGGCGGCTAAGGCATGACCCCGGCTTGCCCAGCAGAGGGATGAAGGCTGTTGGAGGCCTCCCCACAGACAGCACAGCCAGGCTTTCTATAGGGGAGGCTGCAGAAAGGCCCCAGGTGCTCTGAGAGCCTGGCAGGGAATGCCCGGGCTGGGGAACAGGGGGAGGCCCTGGATGGCAGGCGGGCCCTTCCAGAGCAGGAGGGGCTCAGAGAAGGAAGAGAAATGCTGCCCGAGATGCCTGCCCGGGGGAGGCTGGCTCACTGCCAAGGCCGGAGAAGGGAACGCCAGGACATGGAGCCTCCTCCCTGGCACGCCCTTCCGTGCTCAAGCCCAGCCCTCTCTCCCCAGCTGATGCCCTCGCTCCTCCGCGGGGACACTCTCAGAGCGTGTGAGGGCTCGAGCCTGCATGAGGGCAGATGCCTGCTGAGCTGCCCTGACAGCTGCTCCACTGGGGACGGGGACTGGGGCCACATCGTGGGCAGGGGAGCAGGTCAGGCCCTGGGGGACAGGGAGACTGTGTGGGTCCACGAGGGATGCAGGAGCACGCAGAGCCCAGGACCACTACTGATCCTCCCCGATTTATGGGGCTGGGCCAGGCCTGGCAGGGCAGAGGGGCAGAGGGGCAGAGGAAGGGCGCTAGGGGGACTGCTCACCTTCGTTCACGAGGTACCGCGCGTAGAGGAGCAGCCAGTGGCGGGACCCCCGGCTCGGCCGCGCGGGGGGGGGGGCCGCGCG